CGGCATAGACTTGCTGCACACAAGGCCCGGTCTCGCTGGACAAGAGTGCTGCCGATATTTCTTTGGGCATGGTTCAGTCGATTGCTGGGCGGGCCCTTCAGGCTACCGCTGCGTCAACGGTGGACACCATTGCTCCTACTACAAGAAGTTGGACGATGTGGTGTTTTACGTCTGGGGGGGCAGCGCAGCGACGCCCACCCCCACGCCCAACCCCACGCCTAATCCGACGCCCAACCCGACGCCCAACCCCACTCCCAACCCCACTCCAAACCCGACGCCGTTCCCGACGCCATTCCCGACGCCGTTCCCGACGCCGTTCCCGACGCCGTTCCCGACGCCGTTCCCGACGCCGTTCCCAACGCCCAGCCCGACACCGAACCCGACGTATCCTCCAGGTTGGCCGACGCCGCACCCGACGTTTCCTTCGATTGGTGCAGCTGGCGCTGGTGTGGCTGCCACCGGCGATCCCCATTTGCAGAACCTTCATGGCGAGCGGTTCGATTTGATGAAGCCGGGCCACCATGTTCTGATTTTTGGGCTGAAGCCGCACCGCCGACCCCTTGGGTGCATTTTAGTTACAGCTGACACGTGAGATTGGGTTCCTCTTGCTTCGAGGGGTGGTGCATGTCCAGAACGCATGGGGCATGGGCGTCTGAGTTTCCTGGGAGTGTTTGGGGTTAACCTGGTGGCCTCCTGGAGACACCTTGAGGCCTCTTGGGAGCCTCTTGGGGGACTCCTGGGCCATCTTCGGGTGCCTGGCGCAGTCGCAGGCACTCTCTGGGATCCTCTCACGGACGTCGTGGCGCCATCTTCGGGCTAATGGCCATCTTTGGTGTTTCTTGGGCCGCCCTGGGGGACCTCTGGGCGAGGTCGTAGGGGCTTCGTTGGCAGCTTTGTGACCCTCGTGGGCTGCCTAGGATCTCCCACGCGGGGTCACCCGAAGGGGTCGGCGAATCAACATCCCTCGTGGAATGATCGCTGAAGTCGCATTGCTTCGCGTGCAGGCCTACGCGCGCCGCCTAGGTGGACAGTGTTCTGACATGTACTTCCAAGAGTTGAACGTTACGGGTTCGTGGGCAGAGGCCGAACAAGCTGGAGGGTATCATCATAGCGCATTGCAACCCGATGACAAGGCTCCACAATGGATTGCTTTCGGCCCATCGTTCCGTAAGGTGGAGCTGAAAGTCGTTCACGGGCGCACGGACGGTGGCCTCCAGTATTTGAACGTGTACGTGAAACATCTGGGGCGAGCAGGGCTTGCCGTCGGGGGCCTGCTGGGGGAAGACGACCACAGAGACGTAATGACACCCCCAGCGGACTGTGCCCACCATACCTTTCTGAGAACCTTTCTGGTGGATGAGAAACCCAGAGGCCAGGCTCGGTCTTTGTCAGTGGCAAGGGCCACTTTCGCGTGACTCGACGCTGCACTTCAGAACCGAGCAGGCCAACAGCGACAGAGTTCCAGTTTTTGCGGTACAGCCCATTGTATACATATAACGGCGCACCGGGTCCGGGGGCCCGGGGCCGGGACCTCTACCACAAATGTGCGCCCCGGGGGGCCCGGAGGCTCGTTGGGGCTTGCCGGAGGCCTCCCCAGTCAGACAAGACGGCCCAAGAAGCGCCCAAGACGGCCCAAGAAACTTCCAAGAGGCCTCCAAGAGGGCTCCGAGATGCTGAAGATGGCCTCCAGACGTCCAAGGAGGCCCCAAAGAGGCCCCAAGAAGCCTCCAACATGCGTCCCAAGAGGGCCCCTAGACGCAAAAATTGGCCCATTCCCCTCGTAAAACGTACATTTTCAACAAAGTTGTCTTTTGGGCTTTCCGACGTTACAGGACGGCCCAAGAGGCGCCCAAGACCGCCCCAAGACGGCCCAAGAAGCTTCCAAGAGGGCCCCCGGACAGCCCAAGAGGGCCCCAAGACGGCCCAAGAGGCGCCCAAGATGGCCCAAGAGGGCCCCAAGACGGGCCCAAGAGGGGGCCCAGAGGGGGACCACGAACCGCAAGCTCGAGCCTTCCGCCCCAAGAGGCCGCCAGGAGGCCCCCAGGAGGCCCCTCAAGAGGCCCCAGGAGACCCCAGACGTCCAAGGACGTCCCCAAGAGGCCCCAAGAAGCCTCCAACATGCGTCCCAAGAGGGCCCCTAGACGCAAAAATTTGCCCATTCCCTTCGTAAAACGTACATTTTGAGAAACAAGTCGCCTCATTGGGCTTTCCGACGCTACAGGAGAGGACCAAGGGGCCCAAGAGCGCGCCCAATACCCCGCCCCAAGAACCGGATAGGCCCAAGACCCTGCCCAAAGGGCCCAGGACAAGCCCAAGAGGGCCCCAAGGAAGAAGCCCCAAAGAGCACGGGCCCAAGAGGCGGGCCCCCAGAGGGCCCCCAAGGACGGGCCCAAGAGGTGCCCAGAGGGGACCACGAACCCCGCAAGCCGAGCCTTCATCCGCGACCCACAAAAAGAAGGCCAGCCAGGAGGCCCGCGCAGTTTGCAGATCCCTTAAAAACAAACAAAACCACAAAAGATGCCCCAGGAGACCCCAGACGTCCAAGGACGCCCCCAAGAGGCCCCAAGAAGCCTCCAACATGCGTCCCAAGAGGGCCCCTAGACGCAAAAATTGGCCCATTCCCTTCGTAAAACGTACATGTTCAACAAAGTTGTCTTTTGGGCTTTCCGACGTTACAGGACGGCCCAAGAGGCGCCCAAGACCGCCCCAAGACGGCCCAAGAAGCTTCCAAGAGGGCCCCAGGACAGCCCAAGAGGGCCCCAAGACGGCCCAAGAGGCGCCCAAGATGGCCCAAGGGCCCCGGTGCCCCAGGGCCAGGTGAAGGTCCAAAACCTGCACGAACAGGAAGACATGACAAAAGCCAATCCACATCTCATTATCTCTGTTATCGCCGGTCCGAAGGAAGCCCCGTCCGTAAAAAAAGATGTTGTCCCAGGACGTCCAACATGAGCCCCAATCGCTTCATAGTGTATACGGCACCTGCATACTGGGGTCAAAGCCTGGGCACCAGTAGCCAAGGAACGCCCACCGATAACTCAGACGCATCACGATTATGCTGGATTGCCTTAAGCACCGTGTCATACATGCAGGCACGCGTGGGCAGAGGATGAGCAGGAGGATTGGAAGGATTGGGAGGATGGCCAGCGGCGGCTCCCCCAATCAGAGGAGGATCGGGAGATGAGAGGGCAGGAGGAAGAGGAGGAGGGGGAAGAGGAGGAGGGGGAAAAGGAGGAGGAGGAGGAGGAGGGGGAGGAGGAGAAGAGGAGAGAAGGAATAGGTGGGTGTCATGACCCGTACTCACTCATCCATGAACAAACATAAGCCGCGCCAATACCCTTTCATGGTCTTGGGCGTGACATGACCGATACTGAGCAAGCTGCAATCAAAAAGCTGATCGACTTCCCATCAGAACCGAAGATAATCAATATAAGCAGCGTGTGATACGAGGGAAACCGTACCATTGCACCCACGAAAACAATCAACCTCAGACCCTCCCAGGCACTCTGAAGGAGAGCCTGCAACCACTGGCAGAACACTGACAACGAGGCACCACCAGGCCTCCCCTTGAAGGGTCTGGGGCATTGCCCGTCCTGAAGAACACCATAGAAACACATCATCTCATCCCTGTTGACGGTCAAGGGCATAACCGATATAGAAGACAACCATCAATCGGTGCTAGAACCATCGCGCGCTTCGCGCGTGCTCATGCTCCACATATCTTGGAGTCGAACGCTTGCCGACGAAGAGGCCCCAGCGGTCTCCAAGAGGGCCCCCCCAAAAAAAACACAAGTTGCCCCCAAGAGCGCGCGAAGGGCGGCCCAAGAGGCATTCAAGAGGCGATTTTTCGGAGCTCCTGCATGTGGACTTCCGAACGGAGAGGAGCGACTTCTGTTCCCTGGGGCTCCCTCAGGATCGCCAGGGGTGCTTCGGGGCGTCCGGGAAGCAAGCTCTAGGCTCTAGGGGGCGTTTCGGAGCTTCATGGGGGCGTCTTGGGGGCCTCTTCGGCGCTTCTTGGGCGCCTCCTGGGTGCTTCTCAAGGCCTCCTGGGGACCTCCAGGGACGGAGACTTCCGTTCCAATGCCCCCTCTGGCCCCCTTCTTGGAACTGTCCTGGGGGCTTCTTGGGCCGTCTTGGGGTCCCTTCAAGCCGTGTTGGGGCGCTCCTGGCGTGTTTTGGATCTGTCTTGTGAGCCTCTTTGGCTGCCTTGGTGCGATATTCGGAGCCGTCGTGGAGCAACGTCAAGCCGAAAAGGCGGGAACCCCCAAAAACTAATAAAAACCAATCGGCCAATTAATAAAATTGGTGTCTTTATGCCCTCTTGGGGCCCTACTGGGGAGCGTCTTGAAGCCTCCGTGGGCATCTTGAAGCTTTTTGGGCCGTCTCGGGGCTACCTTGGGCGTCTTAGAGCGGACTCTTGGCGTCTCGGGTCCCTCCTTGAACGTCTTCGGATTCTTATGGCGCTTTGTTGTGACGTTTTGCGAGCCTCTTGCGCCGTCTTGGGGACCCTTTGGGCCGTCTGGGAGCGCTCCTGGGCTATCTTGGAGCCCTCTTGGGAGCCTCTTGGGCAGTTTTTTTTTCCCCACCCTGAGCCGCACATGGTCTACCAAAAAAATGCTCAAGGACCTGCACATGTCTCGCGTGCCACGCCTACTCTGTTTCAAGGGCTCTTTATATAGTGACACGGGTCCAGTGAGACACGAAAAGCAGCATGCAGAAACACACCCCTAGCACATGCAATCGACCATGGATCGGCTCTCCGTCGCGGCCTGCGTTGGCCAAGACAAACAATCGCAGGACACGCTGGCCAGTCACAGCGTGTGCTGGCTGGGGATACAGCGACGTGCAGACTCAGCATGCTGAATCGCACCCCTAGGACGTGCAATCGACCCTGTGATGGTCTTGTCCTCGTCGGGGCCTGAGCCAGCCACGTATTAAACTATAGCCTCCATCATTTCCGTTTCTTGATTGAAGCCCCTTTGGGCCGTGTTTTGTTTTTGTTGGGGGGGGGAACAATAGGGACGACTGGGCATGTTTGCGCGGCCACCACGCAGGACCTCTGGCGGCGCCACTTTAAAAGGATTAAGTTCCCTACCACGCTGGCATTCAGCGAGGCGTTGCTGCCCGCACAATATGCCCGATCTGTCTGCCACGCCCGCCAGCTCCCGAGTCATTTTTGCCGATGAGCGACGGGCGGTCCAGCAGGCTGAAATGAAGACTCTGCTGCCCAGATATACCAGGCCACGCCTGCGAGAAGAGGCAACGGTCGCAAGCCAGCTGACTGCCAGAATAAAGGCCCGCGACACATACCACGAACAGAGCTACGAGTCTCAATGAATATGGCTGGGTAACCAACAAGCCGAAGCGGTCCAACCCTGCGTTGCGAGGCCTTTCCAAGAAGAGCCCAGGAAAACGCGAACTATTCGTTTCCATTTGCTTCTTGAACGAATTGGGACACCTCGCCGGTTCGGCCCCCCGACGCTCCACAACGGCTCGGAGAATCCCCAGGACGACTACCAAACGGCCGAAGATCCCCCCCGCGAAGAAGGCCCCGAGGCGTCCCAAGAGAACTTCCAAGCCGCCCTCCTCCTCCTCCTACTCCTCCTCCTTCTCGTCCTCATCATCCTCCTCATCCTACTACATATCTGCTGCTCATCTTCCCCTCTTCCTCCTCCTCCTGCCTCTCCTCCTCCTCCTCCTGCCGAAGACTGCGGCAAAACGGCCCCAAGAGACGAGCCCCACCAAAGAAACGGCAAGCCGCATATTCAAGCTTCCTGCCTCGAGAAAGCCAGCGCCGCCACAAGAGGCCTCCAGGAGGCCACAAACATAGAACCCGTTGAAACTCGAGTGGTTTTGAAGCGCGTGGGACTTATCGCTCCAGAGGCCCAAGAGGCCCCAGGGCGGCCTAAAAAAATGCCCAAGACGGCCAGAAACGTTCCCGAAGACGGCGCCGCAAGCCGGAAACGCAAGCCTTCCGTGCCGAGAGGGCTCCCGGAGGCTCAACGACGAGCTCTGTAGGCCCGATAGGACCACTCCTAAGAGGCATCGTGGCTTCTATTCGTCTCTCTTTTTGTTGATTGCTTTCTCTCTCTCTCTCTCTCGGTGTGCCTCGGTCTCTCTCTCTCTCTCTCTCGGCTTTCGGGCTCCCCGAGATCCCCGGAGCCCACGTTTGCGAACGTCTTGGGCCCTTCGTGGGCCGTACCGACAGCGAAAACAAACTACGTTTTACAAACAGAATGATGCTATTTTGGCCGCTTGGAATTGTATTGGGGGCCCTATTGGGGGTCGCTTGGAGTGTCTTGGGGACTTCTGAAAATGTCTTCGAGGCCATGTTAAGCGTCTAAGAGCGACCTTCGGGCGTCCGGTGTCTGTTCTGGAGCCTCTTGGACCCTCCTTGACGCCGAAACCCTGTAAAATCACAGGGAAAATGAGCCCCGGGGCCCACATTTGTGGTCGAGGTCCCGGCCCGGGCCCCAGGACCCGGTGCGCCGTTATATGTATATTCCGAATAGCTGGTGATGTGGAAACCAACCTCCAAGGTCCAAGTACACGATGGGTCTGGGAGATTGAGGGCGGATGTCTTTGGGGCCCACATGGGCCACGTGTTCGATTCCGTTCCCAGCGTCATAGTGCCGTTTTGGTTGAAGGTGGAGTGGTAACCAGAATTTTTCCACACGGTTTGTGAGGTCAGGTCGATGTATGTAGTGGTTCGGCGCTCCGCGAACGCCGCCGCTGCCTGCTGCGAGGCGCTGCTCTTGTCCACCGCTGCTCCAAATTGCATCATGCTGGAAGCGGTGAGCTGTGGGGCCGCGCTCAGGCCGGTGGCGCCGCGTGCCCCGACGAGGCTGGCGATCCCCAAAAGTCGGACCATCTGCGAGACAGGCGCGCCGACCGGCAGTTTTGTAGGACGTGCGCAGAATGCGCGGGTGTGTTTCGGATTGCGAAGGCCCAGCTGGAGCCAAAACGTCTTGAGACAATGCCCAAGCATCGGATGGGCACCGGCAAACATGGGCACGATGCCCCGCCGTCAGCGGCCGATGTTTGGCAGGCGACCCTCCGTCTCAAGTGGGCAAACGTCCACAGCAACGCCAGCGAGCCCTGTTCAGAACGGACAAAAACTGCTGTCGGCCTTCGTCACCACTCTTTCAATAACTACTTCGACCATTCCGGGCAAACCTCAACCCTCCAACGCTTCGGGGTGCGCGCAGACGTCCTCCCCCCCCCCAGGTAGTCCCAATTGGCCCCAACAGGCACCTCGAGTAGTGTGGGGCGGTCTCATCTCAACGGAGCGCCCAAGGGGCGCCGCCATGGTGGTGAGGCCGCCCCAGGCTACTCGAGGGGCCCGTTGAGGCCAGCCGGGACCACCTCGGGGGGCTCCGTGCGCAACCCGAAGCCAGAACAACTCTCGATGAGGGCCAGCGTCAGGAGGGGACCCGCTCAGGGGAGGAAGCGTCGACCTGCAAACGGCCGATACATCGCCGCTAGATCGGCGATGGGCCCCCCCGATGGCGACTCCGCACGTTCCTGGGCGGGGTGGGCCTATCGGGCCCCTATCGGTGATCAACGGGCGCTTGGGGGTCGATGCGCCCCCCCTTGGGCCTCGACTGAACATCGCGCAACCGACCCCTCTCCCTATGGGCGTGGCCTGGGCCCCCCTGGCCGATGTCGGGCTTCTAGGGGCATGTCCCCCACTGGGGTGCGAGGGGGTCTGCCCTCAAACATCGGCTCTCCTGGAAGGGCTTCTGCCCATCATCTGGAGGGGGGCCTGGCCGTGGTGGCGAGGGCCCCCGTGGAGGCGTGAACAAATATAGGAAACAGCGGCAACAATTGGCATGCCCCTCGAACTGGGCACGGGCATTTTTTCCTGAACGCAGAAATGGACAGTGGCACGCCCAGCTGGCGGCCGAGGCCGGAACAAGCTGTCTAAACCAATCAAACGGGCTCCATCATGCAAGGGATGCCACCGCAACGGAAGCCACAGCTGGGCTCCCATCGCTGCGCGTCCCCGCTGCTAGGGACAAATGCTGAGCGCAATCGTCAGGAACGGTGCTCACGTCGTCGTGGTCGTCCTCGCCCAGAAGACCTCCGACTGCGAATCCCGCTCGACCCAAATGCTTCACGTGCATATTCAAGTACTGCAGACCACTGTCCGTATGTCCACGAACGACTTTCAGCTCGACCTTGCCAATAGTGGCCCACCCTGGAGTCTTGATGTCGCGTTGCGATACGCTGTAGTGATACCCTCCGGCTTGCTCGGCATATGCCCAAGACCCAGTAACGTTGAGCTCCTGGAAATATATGTCCGCGCAATGTCCACCCAATCGACGCGCGTCGGCCTGCACACGAAGCAAGGAGCTCTCAGCACCCGTTCCACGGGGGATATTTAACAGAACATGCTTGCCTGCCTTCATCAGGTCGAACCGCTCGCCATGGATGTTTTGCAAGTGAGGGTCGCCAACGGCAGAAGCTCCAGCACCTGCCCCACCCGCTGGAGGTGGCGTTGGCTCCGAAGTCGCGGCTGGCGTCGGAGCTGGCGTTGGCGGGCTCGGGCAAGTGCCGCTGTGCTCTACGCTTAGTTCCGACCACGTGGTCACCCCTCGCCCCACCGTAAACTGCACAAGAGACCGGTCCTCATCAAGTACGTTCTCTGGCCAGCCCACATTATCGGGGACCCAATAGACTCTGCTGAAAAGCACATGAGATCTGTCCGCAGACAAGATCTGGAAATCGATCTTTCTGTCGGCGCGGTAAGATATTCGGATGTATTTTTTGGAGCTCGGATTTCCAAAGAATTCGCCGAGGCTCATCTGATTCCAATTGGTCTCGCTGCCCTCAGACCGTAAACCGTCCCTAGCTGTGCCCTCCTGTTGACTCCACTCTTGAAAGACAATGTAATTGCCTCCATGCCACGTCTTGTCTTTGATGGCAGCATCGTCGCCGAAACCAATCGACATATATTTAAATTCCGAATAGCTGGTGATGTGGAAACCAACCTCCAAGGTCCAAGTACACGATGGGTCTGGGAGATTGAGGGCGGATGTCTTTGGGGCCCACATGGGCCACGTGTTCGATTCCGTTCCCAGCGTCATAGTGCCGTTTTGGTTGAAGGTGGAGTGGTAACCAGAATTTTTCCACACGGTTTGTGAGGTCAGGTCGATGTATGTAGTGGTTCGGCGCTCCGCGAACGCCGCCGCTGCCTGCTGCGAGGCGCTGCTCTTGTCCACCGCTGCTCCAAATTGCATCATGCTGGAAGCGGTGAGCTGTGGGGCCGCGCTCAGGCCGGTGGCGCCGCGTGCCCCGACGAGGCTGGCGATCCCCAAAAGTCGGGCCATCTGCGAGACAGGCGCGCCGACCGGCAGTTTTGTAGGACGTGCGCAGAATGCGCGGGTGTGTTTCGGATTGCGAAGGCCCAGCTGGAGCCAAAACGTCTTGAGACAATGCCCAAGCATCGGATGGGCACCGGCAAACATGGGCACGATGCCCCGCCGTCAGCGGCCGATGTTTGGCAGGCGACCCTCCGTCTCAAGTGGGCAAACGTCCACAGCAACGCCAGCGAGCCCTGTTCAGAACGGACAAAAACTGCTGTCGGCCTTCGTCACCACTCTTTCAATAACTACTTCGACCATTCCGGGCAAACCTCAACCCTCCAACGCTTCGGGGTGCGCGCAGACGTCCTCCCCCCCCCCAGGTAGTCCCAATTGGCCCCAACAGGCACCTCGAGTAGTGTGGGGCGGTCTCATCTCAACGGAGCGCCCCAGGGGCGCCGCCATGGTGGTGAGGCCGCCCCAGGCTACTCGAGGGGCCCGTTGAGGCCAGCCGGGACCACCTCGGGGGGCTCTGTGCGCAACCCGAAGCCAGAACAACTCTCGATGAGGACCAGCGTCAGGAGGGGACCCGCTCAGGGGAGGAAGCGTCGACCTGCAAACGGCCGATACTTCGCCGCTAGATCGGCGATGGGCCCCCCCGATGGCGACTCCGCACGTTCCTGGGCGGGGTGGGCCTATCGGGCCCCTATCGGTGATCAACGGGCGCTTGGGGGTCGATGCGCCCCCCCTTGGGCCTCGACTGAACATCGCGCAACCGACCCCTCTCCCTATGGGCGTGGCCTGGGCCCCCCTGGCCGATGTACCCCCCAGTGATGGGGCTACAAGCTGTTCCTCTCGGGCTTCGAGGGGCATGTCTCCCACTCGGGTGCTGAGATGGTGGGGCCCTCGATGGGGACGGGTGGCGGTGAAACGATACCGACTTGAGCCTCGCCCGGGCACTGAAAACAGGGCTAGGATCGGGATAAATCGCTCCAGAGCGTTCCGGAGCGCTCTCAGAGCGTTCCGGAACGCTCTGGAGCGGCCGCGGCGCCCAAGACATCCTCCAAACCCGCCGATCCTCAGAGATTTCGAGTTATCCCGATCCGATTCTGTCCCGATCTTCGCGTCGTTTTAGCACTTTCCCTGCCGTCGGAGGAAAGCGCCGCGGCGCGCCGCTCCACCGCGCCGCGCAGCGCGGCGGGCGCGAGGCCGCCCGCGAGCGGCAGCGCGCGGGCCAGGTCCGCGACCGGGCCGGGGCCGTAGCGGAGCGCGCGGCCGCCTCTCGCGCGGGAGGCGCCCACATCGAGGATCGGATCGACGGGGGATCGATCGGATCGATCGGGAATCGAACCGATCGCCCCTCGAAGTCGCATCGCACCGATGGACATCGAAGCGAGGCCACCGACGTCGACGTCGGGGCCGGATCGATATCGGATCGAGGCGGGCCTGGCCCTGCCTCGATGATCCTAGGAACGTGTGTTGGCGGCGAGCATAAGGGGGTGGAGGGAGGGGGGAGGGCTTCTCAGAAGGAGCCTGCCTCTTAGAAGGCGCCGGCCTTGCATCTATAGACAAGGCCCGCGCCTTCTAAGAAGCAGGGGTGCCTCTAAGAAGCCCTCCCCCCTCCCCTGCGCGTGGCTGAGTGTGTTAGCGCCAACGTGTGTCAGTCCACCGAGGCCCTTCAAAATACGACGCAGGCGGCGCAGCGAGGGCCGGCGCCGGCTGCGCGCCGTCGGCGGACCCGAACCGCTCGGGCTAACACACGTGCTGAAGCCTCCTCCTCCTCCTCCTCCTCCTGCTCCTCCTCCTGCTCCTCCACGCCGAACCGTCGGCTAACCACAGCCGACGCGTGCGACGAGGCCCGAGATCTGGGCGTTGCAAACTTTTCGCGCCGCCTTCGCCCAGTGCCCGTGCCCTGGGGCCATCGCCGATAGATCCGGCACGGAACGTGCCGCAGGAAGACGGGGTCTGGGGCTCCTGTCGTGATGTTTCGCGCTGCTACATTGTTTCGCAACGTCGGATCTCAGGGAAGGTGCGCGGGACAGTCATCGTGATACCGTAAAGAACGCGGAACAAGGAACAATGTGGCTTTTCTGGCCACGGCGAGCCTCGGCCGCGAAAAGGCTCCGCGGCCTAGACCTTCGGAGTGGCCCCAGAACTTGAGCCCCTCCCGAGTTCATGGTGGTCCTTCAAGCAAGCACCTGCGAGCCGCACCCCTGCATGCCGGGTTCCTGAAGGATGGGCCCGCAGGGGCGAGCAGTGTTCGCAGTTGGTCGCGGAAGGGATGCGCGGTAGGCATGCAAGCCCCTCGAAAGTCTTGGATGCCCGAGTTGAGGCTGTCTGAGCCAAGGACTGGCTAAAGCTGGGCCGAACCATTGGGACTGTCACTCATCCTTACCGTGCGCGTCGGCTGTGTATACCGCCGACGTGCCTCGCCAGGGCCACCTCCCGAGCCTCTTCCCATCGTGACAGCCACCTGGGCGGAACGTGCTTGGCAGCGTGTAGCCTCCGAGGGCCCTCCCTCATCGGGCCTCGGGACCTTCGGACACCGGCTCGGGATGAATAACAAGTTCTAAGTCGGGCGTGTCCCCCTACAGGGAGAGCTTCGACGAGAAATTCGCCGGCCCAACGGGCCAGGGCGTGCTAAGATCTCCGGTAACAGGTAAACAATATTTCTTGTTCGCGCGCGCAGGGCGGCCCCTAGGAGTCCCCGGGCGGAAAGTACCCCGGCAGCTCCCCGGCAGGGTGGGGGCCAGAGATGCCGGACTTCCTGGGCGCGGCCCTGGAGGCCTCTGGAGCGCTCCAGGAGCGCTCCAAGGAGACGCCAAAAATGTGGCAGGCCCAGCAGCCTGAAGCCAAGAGCGCCCCAAGACGGCCCAGATGGCCTCAAGACGGCCCAAGATGCTCCCAAGACGCCCCAAGATGCGTCCAAGAGACCTCCCAAGAGGCCCCCAACAAGCCAAAATTGATGATTTTCATTGGTTTATTTTAGGATTTTGGCGTTCTCGCCTCTTCGGCTTCCTAGCGCTCCAAGACGGCCCCAAAAGCCCTCAATATCGCCCCCATACGGCCTACGACGGTTCAAGACCGTTCCGAAACGACCCCAGAGGGCCCTAAGGGACCCGCAGAACCCTCCAAGATGGCCCAAGATGCCCCCAAGACGGCTGCAAGACCGGGCCCCGACGGGGGACCGGAATGGACATTTCGCGCTCTAAGCCGCAAGACGTCCCCAGGAGACCTCATAACGCCCCCAAGAGGCCTCAAGACGGCCCAAGATGCTCCCAAGACGCCCCAAGATGCGTCCAAGAGACCTCCCAAGAGGCCCCCAACAAGCCAAAATTGATGATTTTCATTGCTTTTTTGAAGATTTTGGCGTTCTCGCCTCTTCGGCTTCCTAGCGCTCCAAGACGGCCCAAAAAGCCCTCAATATCGCCCCAATACGGCCTACGAGGGTTCAAGACCGTTCCGAAACGACCCCAGAGAGCCCTAAGAGACCCCCAGAAACCTCCAAGATGGCCCAAGATGCCCCAAGACGGCTCCAAGACCGGGCCCCGACGGGGGACCGGAACGGACATTTCGCGCTCTAAGCCGCAAGACGTCCCCAGGAGACCTCATAACGCCCCCAAGAGGCCCCCGAGAGGCCCCAAAAGGCCCCCATCAGGCCCCAAGAGGCCCCCAGGAGGCCCCAGGAGGCTCTAGAAATACTGCCAAGAGGCCCTCGAGAGGCTTCCCAAGAGACCCCAAACGGCCTCTAAAAAACGCGTCTTGTCCACGACCAAACTTGGCTCCCAAATGTCCCCCTCCTCCTCCTCCTCCTCCTCCTTCTCGCTCGCCATCCAGAAAGCGGGGCTCCATTGGCGGACCGCGCCAAACCACCATCCGCGAGCCCCATGAGAGCAGACGATGGCGCCACAAACCACTGACAGCCGCAAACGTCGAACCAACTACACCGGACTGGTGCACCCACCACCGAAAACAACGTCCCCCCCATCAGCGCAGCATGGCTCACGGACGCTCAGCCAAACCCCAGCGATTACGCATTATGGGCCGGCGGAATGAGCGAAGCGATTAAATAAAAAAATGCCAAAAATAATCAAAACATAGTCCATAGTCTGGGGACTTGGTTTTTGTATTTTTGTTGGCCATGTGGGGGTATTGTTTGACTATTTATAACTTTTCGCCCCAAATCCCCCTGTAGGAGGGCACGCCCGACTGAAAACGAGTCCCATGGAAGGGGTCGAGGCCTCTGGGGTCCGCGTCGCGCGTCGGGGGTCTGGGGGGCGTGGTGCGTTTCGCACCTGCCCGGCCGAGGGCAGGAGGGCCCACGTCGGCACCACCCTGGGGCCCAGGCTGCTGCCTGCTGCGGAGCCTGCGCCGAGGTCCTGGGCGATGCTCTGGAGGAGGCGCTCGACGTCGTCGTCTCCTCAGCGGCGGCTGCGTCGCCAGCGTCAGGTCGGGCGGGCCCCTCTACAGGAGGGTTATTCAAAAAAAGTAACAAAAAAAAAGTCAGGGGACGATTTCTTGAGCATTTCATTACCATTCTGGAATATTTTGGGGTATCTTTTAATGTTTCGCCCCAAATCCCTCTGTGGGGGGACAGGCCCGACCTAACGTCAGCGTCGTCGGGGTCACCCAGCTTCACGCACCGCACACAGCGATGTTTCGGGGAGACGTAGGACTCGGGTACAGGGGACTCGTGTTGGCCTGACGGGGGCGATCAAAAAAATGACGAGACCCGATCTGAGATTTGACACGGGCTCCCGCCTCAGACATCCAACGGAAACGGGACCGTCAAAACCCAGGACGCGCTCGTCCAAAAAAAGCCGGCAAACCCGAGTTCCGGCTTACGAGTCTTACGTGTTCGGCGAATGTTGGCGGCCTGCCGGGTGGGGCTCGAGCGGATGGGGTCGCGCCGCATCGCCGATGCCTCGCGAGGCATCGGCGCCGCGCCGCCCCGCCGCCGTCGGTGCCCCGCGCCACGCTGCCGAGCTGCACCGGCGACGCCGGCGATGCATCGGCGACGTCGGCGCGGAGAAGCCTGGGCCCCACCCGGGCCAGGGCTAAAACGACGCGAAGATCGGGACAAAATCGGATCGGGATAACTCGAAATCTCTGAGAATCGGCGGGTTTGGAGGATGTATTGGGCGCCGCGGCAGCTCCAGAGCGTTCCCGAACGCTCTGAGAGCGCTCCGGAACGCTCTGGAGCGATTCATCCCGATCCTAGCCCTGTATTAACCAGGGCGCCCCTCTCGCGCCCCAGGCCGCGGCGCGCCGCCGCCGCGGCCGAGCGCGGCCCGGAGAAGCCTGCGATCTGGGGGGGGCTCCCGGGGGCGGCGCGGGGACGGGCCGCGCGGAGCGACCTCGAGCTCCGCCACGGCCCCACCGCACGGGCCCGACACCGCCTCGTCGCTCTTGGGCCTCGGAGGGCCCCGCCTGCCCGAGACGTCCTCGGAGGGCGGACCCCGGGTCCCCGCCGAGACTCACCGCACGGGGCGGTCGCCGCACCGTCTTCGAGGTTAGGAGGTCGACCACGAAACCGAGTTGCCCCAAACTTGGACTTTTTTCTCGCCGAATCGACGTTCATTGTACACGGGGCCCGTAGATCTACGAGCATTGCACGCACTCTCCTTGTAGACTCGATGAGGGAATCCATCTCGGGGCGCATCGATTCTGTCAGGAGGGCCCCGACGGTCAGGGTGGACCCCGATGGTCAGACTCCGATGGAGGACCCCGATGGTCAGATGGACCCCGATGGTCAGATGGACCCCGATGGTCAGACCCCTGACCACTCGGCGTCTGGAGGACCCCGACGGTCAGGGTGGACTCCGTGGAGGGGCCAGGGCACCGGGCTTGGCCGGGGGGGCAGGGCGAGCGGGCCCAGCAGAAGGGCTCGGCCCCCTCCTCGGGACGGCCCCTCCTGGACCCCCCGGGGGGCCTTCTTGGAGGGCCGAATGGGGGCCTTCCGAGCGGCTGGGCGCCTCCTCCTCCTCCCCCTCCTCCTCCCCCTCCTCCTCCACCACCTCCACCACCTCCTCCTCCTCCTCCACCTCCTCCTCCTCCTCCTCCACCTCCTCCTCCTACTCCTCCTCCTCCTCCACCTCCTTCGCCCCCTTCGGAACGCCGACCCCCCCACCACCTTCCCCCCCACCAACACCCCCCGCCCCCCTTGATTGTCTTGCCATCGCTCGGACGCCCATTCCCTGTGCACTCTTCGGCTCTGTGCGCGCTTTCTCTTGCTCGATGGATCCAGGATGTGCTCCTCGAGGGTCATCGCCGGGGAACACGCACACGCCCGAGCGATGCCAGGCTGTTCTGTCGCGACGGCGGTGCCACATCGCCGGATGAGGAACGCATGTGCGTGCGCGGATGTGATGCACACCACCTGCGCCGCGCCCCCCTCTCGCCTCGGCCTCCGCCCCGCCACCGCCTGCCATGCCGCATGCTCCCCAAGCCGGCCGCTTGCAGGGCCTCTCTCTCCCCCTCTCGTCTCGCTCGCGGACGCCCCCGCGGCGGCTCCCCGCGCAAACTGGCGCTGCCCCCGCCTGAAATCCGACGTTGGGAAGATGACCCTGGATATGGACCCACCGGGCAGACTGTATAGGTGGGGTAACGTGGCAAGAGGATCCACGTTCTGCGAACGGTATGTGGGAGGCTCGCAAGGTGCGCGGCCCGCAGGACACCGATCAGTGGACACGGGCTTGGTGGAGGTGACTGGTAGTTCCATGGGTCGAGGGGAAAGCGGGGCAAGGACTAAGAGGAGAAGGCGGAAAGGGAGCTTGAAACGTAAGCGGTCCAGCAGCAAGGGGACATGGCAGCAGCACCAGAGTGACGACAAAATACGGTCAGGGGAAGGATAGAAATGATGTCTCGAAGTATGCCAGTGCCGACAGTTTCGCGGATCGTTTCCCCCCTCATGGATGGAGGGGTCGAATCATAATCTGCGTAAGACCCCCACTATGCTGGGCCCCAAAGCAGCCCTCGAAAGTGGCGACCGTTTCGCAGATCGCAGCACCCCAGGGATGGCGAGGTCGAATCAGAATCCGAATGGGGCCGCACTGCGCTGGCCCCAAGTGCCGACAGTTTCGCAGATCGCAGCCCCCCAGGGATGCCGAGGTCAAATCTGAATCCGAATGGGGCTCCAATGTGCTAGCCCGCCCATCAGCCCTCGAAAGCGGCGACGGTTTCGCAGATCGCAGCCCCACAGGGATGGCGAGGTCGGGGGAAGGCGGGAAGGGGGCGGGAAGGAGGACGCGACCACAGTGCTCTAGATTTCAAAACGCAAACCCAACAACGGAGGGTCCGGCGAAAACTGCAACATCGCGGGGAATCACGCGCATCTTTCTGCTGCATGTCTGCTGCATTTCCGCTGGATGTCTGCTGGGTTTCTGCTGCATTTCTGCTGGATGTCTGCTGCATTGCCCCGAGCCCCAAACCCCATCTTTCTGCCGCATTTCTGCTGGCCTCGGGTCGACCTGGGAAGGCCCCAGGGCTCGAAAGCGGGCGGAAGCGACCAGCGTGAAGCAACCGCAAGAAACCCGGCTCTCGGGAGAGTTCCGTGCCCCGCCGAGCTCCGACGGGGCAGCACGGGGCGCCCCGCAGGCCGCAGACGAGCAGCGCCAGGGCAGCCACGTACCTGGGCTCCTCGAGGGAAGGAACGCAATGACCATGACCATGACGTCGCGGGTGGACGGTCTCCCCTGGGACCGTGGGCGACAGGAGGAGGAGGAGGAGGAGGAGGAGGAGGAGGAGGAGGAGGAGGTGGATGGGACATGCAATTCGCATCCCAATTTGAAGTTGTCGTGGCCGCTGGCGATGACGTCGTAGTTGTTGGTCCAACGCATGCGGCGTCGGTCGAATCCCTGGTGCCGAAGACAGTGCGGGCCTCCTGGATGCCGATGATGTGGATGTCGTCGTCGTAAATGGCGGCCATGACCTTTTTTAGACGGGATATATCTTCGCGCCTCTTACTTGCACCAGGTCTCGGTTCTCGTCCAGTCTGAATGTTGTAGGTGGCGAAGGTGATGGCTACCTCTACCTCTCGCTTCTTCATGTCAGGGTCTCGGTGGATATGTCTCGGGGTGGCTGTCGTCGGAATTGTAGGTGCGTGGGGGCGGTCGTGCATGAGCGTCGGGTATGCTCTTTTGGTGTTGTCGTCGGCATTGATGAGGAACTCCCAGTCCCTCTGGTTGGCTCCGTCCATGGTAGCGCTCCACACGGGCCGGGGATGATCAACTGGTTGATGGCGGGCGTGGTTGGCGGCTGCGTCGGCTAGTTCGTTCCAAGGGTTGTGCTCGTGAGCGTGGACATGCCGAAGCTCGAGTCGGTCCTGCACGATGTCGTAAAATATGCAGAGGGTCTTGACGAGGTCGACGTCATGGTCGGTGAAGGCTTGGCGAATGGCAAGGTTGAAGGCCCCCAGTGAGTTGTCTGTCGCAACCGTAGTGCAGCCTTCTTCGGGTTCTTGGAGCCATCGGTGAATAGGTGGAGTCGGTGCTGTTGTAGTAGAGGCCGAGGTGGGAAGTGTCGGAGAACGTAGTCCGCGGTTTCGATCACCGCTCGTTGGTCGAAATCGAAGGTCAGGCTGGGTGGAGTGCTGTGCTTGATGGTTATTTTGATGGGAGCTTTAGGATTGAAGTGCAGATCGTGCCCTGGTGGTAGCTCATCTGGTAGAGAGGGCTGGTCGTCAGGGGTTGGTTTGGATAGTTTCTTGGACCCTTTGATGCGAAAGGGGTAGAGGGTTGCTGTTTGAGGGCGTGGTGGTGGTGTAGGACTGGTAGTTGATGGCTTGGGGATTCGTTCGCGGCGATGGTAAAGTACTCCGGCATCAGGGGTTGCTTCCATGACTGCCGGCGAAGGTTTTGCTTGATGGTTGTCGTCAGAGTCCTGTAAGGCGTCGAAACGATTGGACGTTGACAAGTAGGTAGGTATTCGATGCTGGCAAAGACGTCTTTGGACTCGTGCAAAGCGTCGTCGGGCGATCGTGTCGTTGAGACCATGGTCATTGCTCTTCGTGGAAGAGTCATCGTCGGGACTGGTGCCGTCGTGCTCGTCCTGGAGGTTGTGGTCGTCCAGAAAGGTCGCCTCGATGTTGTCGAAGGCGGCCATGGGAACAGAGGAGCAGTGGCTGCCGTATCTTGCGTCGGCCGCTTCGTGGATGCATTCGTCGTGCAGTGGTTGCGCCTTCGAGCCAACATGGCTAGTCGCTTCTGCCGTGACTTCGGGCTAGGTCGGTCAGGCCTAGACGGAGTAACACTAGACTATGATTCTGCGTCCGTAGGTGAACCTGGTTTCGCCCTCGGTGGTGACGGCGTCTTGAATGGTACCTTCCTGGTGCGGGTTGGTGGACCACCTGCAGCAAGCACGGAGTCGTGTTGACTAGCTGGAGGGATGCTCCCGAGTCTGGCCGTCGTTGTTGGCGGGTCGCGCTCTCCGCGCAAGTAGATCTCCCACTTGGCGGGCGTCTGACCTGTCTGGCAGCTGAGATATTGAAATGAGGAAGGGCTGGTGTTATTTTGGGCTTTTAGCTATTGTTTGAATGAGGCGTCGAAGCGGTGGGCTGCTGCTTAAGTCGTTCATTAGGCTGGCCCGCTATCCCCAAAGCGGGTATCAGCCTGTCGGAGCTGGCAGAGTCGGGCTTCCTTAGTGGAAGCGAAGGTGGAGGTGATGACGTAACGCTGCTGCAAGTCGCCTGCACCGCAGGGGTCGTCAGGCTGGTCGCTGCACGGTGTGCCGAGTGGGCATTGCTGACCGCGGGCTGGTTCAGTCGCATGGTCGACTTGGGCCAACCAAGGGCCTCCTGCACTGGTGTCGTTGGGCTGCTCTGATGGGCCAGCGCGCCCCCATTAGGGCCTGTCGTAACTATTTTGCTGGGCGTAAGGTGGTGTCCGAACCTTCGTCGTCACCATCTGCACATGCTGCAACTCGATCGGCTGGGTCTACGAAACCGCCACCTGCGTCGTGGATGCGGACCTTCCTGGCTGGGCGGCCCCGTCGGTTGCTGCTTCTCAGGGCTGATCGTGTTCGAGTAGGCGGCGCTGAACGCGCTCTCTCTGGAGTGCCCGTGTGAAAGCGTAGCGGTGGCTCAATTGGGATAATCGGTTGTGTGGGCGTGATGCTGCCGACCAGGTGCTTCTTTGGGGTGGTGGGCTCATCGTGTTCGTCCGCGCTGAGGTCGATGAGCACGGTGTTTGTTGGGCCAGGCCTATGAGCGTCTTCAGCTCCAGTGCTCGCTTCAGGTGGGGCGGATAGGGCTCGAACGGGGGGGGATGGGCTTTCTCGAATGGGTGGTGCTGGCTGCTTAGTCGGGATTGGGGTGCTGGTGATCTTTTGCCTGGGCGCAATGAAGTCGTAAACGCGTCCTTCGAGATCTGGGTCGTGGGCAAGGTCAGGGATGGGAGCGCGTCTGCTGTCGTCGGGTTTGGCGTCGTATCCATCGTCGGCGATCGGCGCCTTCGTCGCATCGGTCGTTGAAGGGGGACGAGACACTGCGGTGCGTCGGTGGGAGTCGGCGGAAACGGCTTGAGCGGGAGGGGGGCGGAGCGGTCGGGGGCCTTGGGGCGAAGCCGAGGTCCTGCAAGCTCCATGCTTCCGGGTCGGCCGTGCTGGCGTTGGCGGTGCCGTTGTCCTGCCCCATGGTCCTGAGCTGCTCGATGTAGGTGTCGATGTTTTGTGGAGGTTGGCCGTGCGGTCCAGGTAGGATTGAACGTATTGCGCCCTCTATCTCGCGGTCGATGCGCTGCTGCTCCGAATCCGCCACGGCTTGCCGTAAGGTTTCCTCCTCGTCGCGCTCACTCATCCTGGTGTCGAGCTCCCTCAAAAAGTCGATGTCGATTGCGTCTCCTCGAAGCTCGGCCTGGCGTAGCTCGGCCTGGAGCTCCCCCCGTTCCTTCAGGCGCTTCTCCTCGTTGGTCTGGATGTTGATCACAAGCTGAATCAGCATATGCTGTTATGTGCGTAGTAGCTGTGCGCTCTCTTGGTTGTACTCGCGTTTTGCTCTGAGCGCGTGTTGCCGTAGTGCCTGTACTTATCCGTATTATTCGGGTAGTCGTCCTTTGGCGTGTTTGAAAACGTCTTGCTCGGAGATGGCCAAGATTTGGACTGCTGCTAGGTGTTGCTGCTGCTCATGCTTGAGGTTGGCCTCCTGCTGCTGGCACCTTTGTTCGTTCTCTATGAGCGAGTTGTACGCACTCGCCAGCTCCCCCTGTCGCGCGTGGTGTTATGCTTGTCGCAGCCGCTGCTGTGCGTTGTTGTGCTCCTGCTGGTGCTGGGCCTCCTGCGTGATGAGCGCGTTCCTGGCGGTGTCCATCTCCTGCTGTCGTGCCTCCCAGCGGTCGTTGTTCCCCTTGTGTATTATCTCGTAGTCCTTGGAGGTGGCGAGCCTCAGGTGCTGTCCCTGCTCTGCCGCCGCTTGAGTTTTCTCTGGCTTGCTCTCTTCGGTGTCGAGCTTCCTTTCCGTTAGAGCCCTGTCGGCTTGCAGCTGCTCCTGGAGTCGTTGCTGTCGCTGTTGAAATTCCGATCGCATGGCGTTCTGTGCCAGCTGCATGCTGTGCTTCTTGTAGTCTGCGCAAGACTTCCATCCTGTCGTGCATTACCTTAATCTCCTCGCGGCGCTCGGCCTGCTGCCTGTCCTTCTGCTGGCTGGCCCGCTGCTCTTGGCTGAGGCAGGCGAGGTGGTGCTGGTGGATGCCCGTGTGCTGCTGCTGGTGGTCGACCTTCTTGGCGAGGTCGGGTATGACCTTGCGAAGTTCTTGGGCGTCGTCATTGGTGTTGAGCGGCTGTGGGTGGTTTGGCCGTTGCGTTGGAGTCGGTATTGGTGGCGAGGTTTTGGTTCACGTGCTCGCGGGTGTGGCGCCTTGCCCCGTGCGGTATTCCTGTCGCGCCCCTCTCGTCCTTGGTCTTCGCGGTCTCCATGCTAATCGGGCGCGCCCCTGGGTCGGGCAAGGCCGATGTTCCGTGCTGGTCCTTCGTCTCCTGCAAGAGCGTCTTCGCGATCATAATGTCGCCTTCTATGACGTCGGACTCATTCTGAAGCTTGGCGGTGTCTTCACGCATCGCGCTTCTCCGCTTCAGGGCGCTCGCGATGCTGGAGCGGCAGTGGGCGGCGCGCTCCTCGGGCGAGAGGGTGGGCATGATCATGGCCGTGGTAATGGGCAGCTCGTTGATGATCTTGGCGTCGTCGACTCGAGCTGCCCTGGCCCCGTGGGCCTGGTCTGCCAATCGCCCTGCGCGCCCATTCGTCATGGCCCATAACTTCTCGACGTCAGTCTCGATGGGTGGGTTCGAGAAACTCTCGCGTTGATCAATTCCGTCTTTAGTGGCAGGCACCGCGCTGTCGATGATCTCGAGCTGCTTCTGGGTGTACTGGAAGTCATCTGATATGGCTGGTGATCTGGACGGTGCCCTTCCCGTAGCCTTTCTCGGCGATGATCCCGCTCTCGATCCCGATCCTTGCTTCCAGCTGGTGTTGTGCTGTTGGTTGCTGCTCTGCTGGTGGCGGTGCTGCTGGCGCCCGTGCTGCTGGGTCCCGTTGTGCTTCTGGTTGTTGGGCTTCTGGTTGTCGCACTGCTGGTCACTGTGCTGCTGGTGCTGCTGGCCGAGGCCGCTCGAGTCGCGCTTGTGGTAGGCGATCTGATGTACTTGTGACCTCCAGGGAGACGGCCTTGCACCTATTGGGGGGCCAGTTGCGTTTGAGCTTGTCGCCATTGTCGAATGGTCAGTCTATGGTCTGCTGGGCGCCGCGGTGCTCTGCGAGCGCCCCCGCGGCAGAGAGGGCGCCGACCGACGTGCGCGCCTGCGCCCGTTGTTGCCTCTGGCGCCGATGCCAGGCTGATTCGCCTTCACGAGGCGTCCAGGCGGGGCGCCCGCCGCGGCCGCGGCGCCGAGCGATGGCCCGCGGCGCGCGAGCCCGAGCGCGAGGGGGCGACCGACGAAGGCGACGACGGCCCGCCCCCCTCAGCCCGCGACGACGGGCCGACATTAAAACCCTGCGGCTGGAGCGGCGGCACCCCATTTTATTTCCGACCTGGCCACTTCGTCATCATCCATAAGAGCCCCACGCTACTATTGGTCAAAAACTCTCGGCTACCGGGTTCCAGCAGACCATCTGCGTCGGCCATGCTCCCCACGCTCGGCCAGCAGATCCCAGCGACAAGGATTTCTTCTGGACCACACTGTCCAACCTTGCTAGTAAGTATAGCATATCGATGGTGATGGTCGACGCCAACGCTCGGACGGAACCGCTAACCAGCTATAGGATCTGTTGGCCCACACCAGCCAGAAGACAACGACGGAACGCGATTCCACGAGTTCCTGCTCGCACAACTTATCAGCAGTTAGCACGTTCCAGAGCGGAGGAGGCGACCACCACACTCGGCTTTCCAACAATGGCCCCCACCGCATCAACTATACCGCCATCGAGACCGACATGCTGGGCTGCATCGCGGACTGTTCCACGATGATTGGCATCGACAGCGACGACACCATCGAGAAGAAGGACGACCACCCCCCAGTTCGCACCACGATGCAGTACCATATAAACACCACCAGATCTACCACTACTCCAAAGCTCGACAAATCGAAGCTGAAAGACGCCAGCTGCAGAAAAAAAAAGTCGACGATATGACCGACGCAATTGGGGCGCCACCGTCAACGACCACCGCGCCATCATTGCGGAAGACATTACCACCACCGCTCAGCAGGTATTTCGACGCGACCGACGCACGCCACGCAAACCGTACATTACGACCAGGTCATTTACTCTGCTACGGGCACGGCGCGCCGCCATAAAGACCACCAGGATAGTCAAGAGCAGCGGGCCCTCTTCGAAGACTGCAAGACGAAGGCCGCGATACTTCGCCAGCATCCTAGCCAACGACGCCCTGTTACCACATCCCAGCGGCGGGCATTGCCTTTTGGACCTGCCGAGCTACGTCTCCTTGGCGACTTCCGCCACCATCTGCTCTTAGAGTAGGGCCGCAACACATCTACAATATCCAGCATGCCAGAACGTCTACAGCCAGGCCTGCCACATTTTGGCCTCGACGAACCAGGTCCTCTGGATATGGGCCGAGCAGGACAGAGACGACTTCCTCGACAACGCAGCCGGCGACATGAACACCTCCATCATCAACAACACCCACAAGCTGCTCGCCTTCGCTGGGAAACCGCCCAAGAAGCCGCTAACTCCGCTCGTGCGCCTCTCGCCTGAAGGAGAGATTCTCATCGGCAAGACCGACATCGCCGACCGCGCTCTCAGGTTCTACGGATCAATCGAGCACGCTAAGGAGACCACAGCCGACGGCGTCGCCGACCATGATACCAACGCACCAACCACGACAAGCCTGACCCAGCCATTCACAACATCACGACAATTGGACAGCTCACGACGACACTTGTTGGAGCGCGACCAGGACGACGGGGGGGGCCAGATGGCATAACAGACGAAATGGCCACAGCTACTTCCTGCTTTATGGCACGCTTACTGCGCCCCATCCTGGTCAAGACGCAGGTGCAGTCAACGGAGCCACTAGCAGCGAAGGGCGGTTTTTCGACGCACTTGTACCAGGGGGGGGGGGGGGGCCCTCGACAAGCAGTCCTCCTACAGAGGCAGATTACTGAACAACGTCGTTGGCAAGACGCACTTGTCCTTTCTAAGGTCCAAGGTCAACTACTTGCTCCCTTCTCTGCTCAACGCCACCCAGTGTGGGGCCAGACCGCGCATGGCCACGGACTCCGCCACCCGCGTTATCATGGCCTTCGTGGCGGACTGCAGGCAAAAGGGAACACCGGGATCCATCATCTTCTTGGACCCGCGTGGGGCCTTCCACTCCGCGACCAGGAAATGCACCATGCAGCTGCCCACCGCGCCCTCGGAGCTCGACGACCTCATCAACGCGATCGACATCCCGGCTTGGCTTCAGCCAGCCCCCACGCAGAACGCGCAGCGCCCAGACAGTAGCACGAGCAAGATCGACGACGCCCACCTCTGCGAGATGATGATCTCAGACCACCACGCATCCAACTGGATGACAGCTCGCGAGGCTATCCAGCATCAAGCGCCGACTACTGGAACCCGACCGGGCGCCCCCTTCTCCGACGTCGCCTTCAACGGGCACTTCGCTCTGCTCCTGAATCCGATCGGCCACGACGCCAGGACGCAGGAATGCAGTAACAACGGACATCCAATCCCTCCTTGCCCCCACCCTTTATTCGCCAAAGAACGCCACGACGGAGACGCATTGCGGCACCTCTCGTACGTTGACAACCTAACTAGACTTACACCCACAGCAGACGCAACAGACCTGGTCGAGGCCACCACTATAGCAGCCAGCCGCTAACCTACGCCGGACCGCCCTCACCTATGGTCTCAAGCCGCACCCCGAGAAGACCAGGGCCATCCTCAACTTCTACGGCGCCAACGCCAGGAAAGGAAGGCAGCGACTTGCAGCCGACCGAATCAACACCCTCGACCTTCCCGACCTCGACGTCCAGCTCAAGATTACCGACCAACACAAAGCTCTGGAAACGACCATTACGTTTGGTGCAGCCATGGGGCCCGGGACCCGACTTCGAGACAACCGATCCGCCACAGCGGTTACATCCCTGGAGCGGCAAATTCTAAGTTTGAAATGACTCCCTGCCAAAGCGAAGATCAAGTACGTCCACGCCTTGCCCACTTCGGCCCTCGCTCAACCACCACATATGGAACGGCATGGCGACGACGGACGCGAAGTTTATGGCGGTCAAGTACGTAGGGCCGCACCGCGTCGCCATGGGACTACCGAAGACCCCCCTCCACCAACATCGCAACCAAGAAAGTCACGGCAATCACTCGCGTTCCCGACTTCACTACCCACCAGTCAATCGCACGATTCAAGTACTTCCCACGACTTCTAAACCACGCACAACGTGTTCTGCTGCGACTCCTCGACAACATCGCCACAGTCAAACGGGGGTGGGTGCAGTTGCTCAAGAACGACTTCAACTCCCCCCGAACCTACTTCAAGCCCGAACGTTGGACTACCGCCAGCCACGTCGATCACCGCGTCGTCGAATGGGCGAGGGAGGGACATAAGGAGATCAACTCAGCAGTGGGCACTGCCGCTAACGCCTTCCTCAGACACGCACAAGAAGACGCCGAAACCGACCGAGCAAACCGCGACATCGGATACGACCAGCCGGCAGCAGCGACCGCCAGATCCACGACAGAGGCGCCCACCAGAGAGTACATCTGCTACATGCGCGAACGCGCCAGCGTCACAGCCGCGCAGCAGGGGGTGGCAATCCACATGGGCAGAGACCACAAGCACCACGACGACCCCCGACAATGGGCCACAGGGACGGCATGCAGATGCTGCCAGACGGGATTTCACTCCTACTCACGCCTCGTCAAACACCTGAAAGCACCAGGACAGTGCCGGACATCTTGGCGCGCATGGCGCACGACGTGCGGCGCGCCCCTGACCGACCAGCACATCGCCTTCAACAACGACCACCACAAGGAAGTAGCTACGAAGAACCGACGGGACGGACGACCTCAAGCCTACGGAGCACAACCAGCCCACAAGGGCGACGTCACGCCACTTCCCATTCTTGAGACCTCCCCACAGCAACCAAGGGTATATGCTCCACTTCGCGCCAGTCCAGCCAGGCCGCCTCCCCCTTTTTCCAAATACTGCGCCACGGCAGGCGATCGCACGCATAGACAACGACCTCTTCCAACACATGACCACCCATTGCATCTCCAACTTGCGAAGGCTCGATTACATCCACATCAGCCTCCACCTCGGCCACGACTCACTAACGACGAGACCAACATACTAAAGGCGAATATGACAGGGGGCACCATCGCTGGTATCTACGCCTACATCCCTACAGCCACCTGGTTCGTCGAGAACTACGACCCCGACGAGATGAATATCGCATCCCGCAGAAGCATAAACCACCCGTGGGGCACACCAAGCATGGGCCAGAAGGACTACGACCTCATCTCGGCCATGAACGACGACCTCAGGGACATCACCGAGATACCCAGCGCCTCGCAGACCTTCCAGGCCCCTATGCTTGTCGCCCATCCAACTGCATAACCGACCAACCCACCTGGAATTACGGCCTCGAGGACGCCTCAGCTGCAGCACATTAGCCGTCACCTCACCGCCAGCATTACCACTGCGACAGGCCCCAACGGAACTCGAACTAGGGTCATGACGACGAACAACAGCATCGACTACGACGGCGAACGCACCAACATGATGACCAACATCTCATAATCCCTGGACATATTGATGATTGCGCGATGGGGTATAACACCAGCAACCACTCCGCCTGACCCACTGACCACCCATGACGCAGCACACCTCGACCCATACATCCTGGCGCGTGAAGGCAACGACTCTGGGCGCCACGGCGACCAAGGCATGAGACGGCACGGTATCCGTGACATCCACGACAACGACCAGCAGCGGGGTGACAGCGTTTCCCACTGCGTCCGCCACCGCGATTTGCACGAAGGCCAGCATGATAGCCAGCACGCCGACCAGCACGACCAGGCGACGAGCCACGTTGACAAGGAGCCGCCGAATTGTTGGAATCCACCAGCAGGAAGGCTACCACATGCTCTCCATTGGAGCGAATTTGACAATATTGAGGAGACGTTCCTCAACGGCACGCATGAAGACGAGAAGGGCGGCTACGACACAAAGAGCGCAGACCGCACCGACGAAGCCACCGCACGACACATACAAGACGAGCAACGTCTCGACCGACACAGACGACGAATGCAACCCACACAGCCCCAATTACCTCCACAAATACCATTGCACAACCGTTTAAGCTGCTTAACAAACGCAACGTCCGACACGGACAATGGTAATGAAAACGAACAACACACAACCAGCACGCGTGCATGTCGAGGCTGTCCTGGTGAGGCAAGGATCAAACGTCGAGACGGGCTCGAATGGCGGGGGGGCAGGACGAGTACTGCCCGCGCCTGCCAAGGGGGATGGTGAGGGGCAGGGGAGGGGGGTAGGACGGCCACTACCCGCGCCCCCGCGGTCCGCCCTAGCTCGCCGCCCCCACCATTCCCATAGCGGAGTTGGAGCTTACCCGAGCGCCCTAGCGGCGGAGCAAAGGACAGCCGAGACGACCCCTACCGACAGCAAAAGCAAGCACAAGGCCTGGGGTTCGCCCCCACCGAGGGCACTGCGACCCCTAACCATAGCGGGACGAGGTGGGACAGACACGAACCCCACTTGAAGTCGGTGCATGCAGGCCTTACAAGTGCGCCCACAACGAACACAACACGACCCGCAACAACGCGACCACCCAACGACCCACTTGTTAGCACGCAGACCAAGCAAGCACAAGGTCTGGGGTTCGCCCCCACCGAGGGCACTGTGACCCCTAGCCATAGCGGGACGAGGTGGGACAGCCAAGAACCCCACTGAAGTCGGCGCATGGAGACCTTACCAGTGCAATCAACGCCCCTACAACACGACCAACAACAACGACAGCAGCACTCGACCAGCGGCGGCAGCCAACAACGACAGCAGCCCCTCGACCACCTCGGCGACCTCGACCACTACGGCGACCACAACATTACGACAAGCCACCCGTCTCCCTGGAGGAGAAGACGAATGGGCCCCCGCTCTACGCAGCGCCAGCGCACCGAGCTGTAGTAGAGATGGCAAGCCGTCGCGGGGCCGCTGGCACTAACGGCGACGTGCCTGGATCGGCCCATACTGGACGAGCAGCCGCTGGTCCAGTGGGCGCAACCAGAAGCGCCACAACAACCGATAGCGCAGGCCTTGACGCAGGCCACAGGGAGAAGCCAGAGGTTGCCTACTAGTCGCGCGGAGAGAGCGACACCAGGATGGTCGGCCGCATCTTCGTGGACACCCCCTCCAGGGGAGGGGGACGAGGTCGAGCTCCTCGCGTGAACCGCCCCGCGGTGAGCGGGCGAGGCCAGCCACGACCCAGGACCCAGTCCGCCCCCGACGTTCCAGTGAAACTACTCCTCCTTCCTCCCTCTCCTTCGGTCCTGGTGCCTATCCTCCGCCTTGTTTCCTTTTTTCCTCCCTTCCCCCGCTTCGCGGGGTTGGGGTGCACTCATCAGAAGGCGCCTAACCCGAGATACCGCCACCCCCCGAGCGGAGACGGCGGCTCGACGACCTGCTGGGCGCGGAGAGCTGCTGCAGGCCAGTAGAGGGTGGCGGTGTCAGGGATGAGGCCGTCATCCAGGCTCCAGGCCCCCCGTCACTGCTCCCCTGGCCTGGGAGCTTTGACGTCCCCCTCTCCTCCTCTGGCCACGCAACCTTCTCCTTCTCTCTCCTCGGGGGTCGGGGCTTCGCGTTTGCCGCGCCGGTTTCGGCTCCTGCTGGAGCCCCCTCCCCTCTTGAGAGCCCTGGAGGCGTCCTCCCTCTGCTCCTCGTTCCTCCTGCCTTCTTTTCTGGACCTTTTCGCGGGCCTTCGGGCCCCGGCGCGTTGCCTCGGCCGCTGGCGGCTGGTTTGGCCTCGTGAGGCCTGGGTGTCCCTTCCGTGTGCGGGCGCGGCAGCCGTGCTGTGCGCCACCTGAGCGGCAAAGCCCGCAACCTCCGCGGCACAAGCCGCCGAGGCGTCGGCCACGTCGCGGGAGCGACATTGGGCCGCATTGCAAAGGTTGCAAAAGAGGTGGATGGGGAGGAGGGGGAGGGGGAAGGGGAGGAGGAGATGGAGGAGGAGGAGGAGGAGGAGGAGGAGGAGGAGGAAGAGGAGGGAGGAGGAGTAGGAGGAGGAGGACGGGTCGCCTAAGTCTTTCGGAGAAACCCTCCAATCGCGGGAACTTGTCCACGCCAATCTTGGTCGTCTTCCATGCCGGCCGTCGCCGATTCGCGGGGCCGATCCACGAGTTCATGGCGACCACGACCGACACCGACGCGTTTGCAGAGAGAGGAGAGGAGAGGAGAGGAGAGGAGAGGAGAGGAGAGGAGAGGAGAGGAGAGGAGAGGAGAGGAGAGGGAGGGGCGGTCCCTCAGATCTGGCGTTACAGAAACAAATCCACGCATCGCGAAAGAGATCGCCACTGGAGCCCTATAGACCCTGTCTCTCTGCTTCATTTCTCGAGCCGCATCGATCTTCGGGAGCGGCCAAGAGGGGGGTGTCCAAGAGGGGGGGGTGCAAATCATGACCGGCGGCATGTGCGCGGCCCAGCGGGGGGGCCAGGGACGTAATGAAACAAGAAGAGGCGCCATGCGATCTGGGGAAATATCATGGCCCACGCCATGATATCCACCGCCCCCTAGTCATCACCCCCCTCTTTTCCGCCCCCGAGATCTGTGAGGGCCTGGGGGCCCGAAACCCGGCGAAAACGCGGCCCGGATCTCAGTGTCGCCTTTGAGCAGGGACCGACCGTCCAACATTCCTAGTCCTACCACGAAATGTCCTTAGACCCCCCAAATGTGCCATGTTCTTAGAACATAAACCCGATGTGTTAAACCAAGACAGACCCAACCAGAAATGTTCTAAGAACATCTCGCTGAAACCGCAAAATGTTCTTAGAACATTCTTGGGTGGGCCTATGGGCTGGCCGGGACGCTTCGCCACTGCTTGAAGCTTTGGCTATGGCCTCGGGGATCTTCTGACCCGGGTCAATCCAGACCTGGGTCAGCAGGAAACCAAAAACTGCAATGCAAGAAAAAAACTGCAACGCAGGTCTTCGCAAACCCGGGTCAGCCAATATGCGCGGCCGCCTCGCGGCCACGAGCGGCTCGCTAACCCGGGTCAGCCAAAGGGGGTCTTCGCAGGATCCTGCAGGATCCGGTGCCCCGGCTGACCCCCGTTTGCATTGACCCCCGTCTCTTGAGCCCCGATGGCCACAGGCTTCTTCCCCTCCGGCTCCCACTCGCCCCCCGCCACGCGGCCCGAGCAGTGCCCGAGGGCTGAGGCCCAGAAGCGGGCGCAGCCGTGGCGCAGGTGGGCGGCGGCCCCAAGGATGCCGACCACGGCGTTGCAGGTCAGCTGCCTGAGTGAGGGGCAGCGAGAGGGGGGGAGAGGCATAGGGGGGGAAACATCGACCTGGGGTCGGCGATGCATCGCCGATAGATCGGCGATAGGCCCCCGATAGTGAATCCGCACCTTCCTGGGCACGTTGGGGCTGTCGGGCCCCTATCGGCGATCAATGGGCGATTATGGGTCGATGCATCCCCCCCTATCGTTGCCCCTGACCAAGGCGAAGCCAGGGCTGGGACAACTTCGGCCGAGGAAAAAAACACAGGGATCTCTGAGAATCGGCGGCCCTGGAGGACACAACGGGCGCCGCGGCCTTCCTCAGGGCGTTGCGGACCGCTCCGAGAGTGCCCTGGAACGGATTTGTCATTGTCCTGCAGTCAACCCGCAAAAGCAGGATGGGGAACCTTCCCAAGGGTACCCTGAAGTCCTTGCCCTCGGCCTTGGCCACTTTCGCTGGCCGCGCCCCTCTCGAAAAGCCTCGAAGTGGCCTTCCGCGGCCCTTGCATCCCGATCGTGCGTCCTGACTCCACGGGTTGACTGCAGCCCCGCCCGACTGCCCGAGGATGGACGCGCAGTGGTCGAACACTGGCCCGCAGAACTCGGGCGGGGCGCACAGCTCCGGAAGGTGCACCTCTAGAGTCGGCGGTGAGCCCAGGGCGGCGGCTTTCGGGGGTTTGGCGAGGGGTGTGGTAGTCAACCCGTATCGTGAGGACGCACGGTAAGGATGCAAGGGCCTCGGAAGGGCATGGCTTGGCCCGTGCGGACACATCACTATCTGTAGACCATGAGAGAAATGATAAAAGAAAAAAGATATATTGATGATGAAATCAATAATGATACTAAACATATGCATATTAATATTAAACCACATTATTAAAACAAATCAATAATACGAATGATCCATTAATGATAATATTCATGATAATGATAATGCAAATGACAATACACATGAATCTAATAATGGTAAATGACGAATTCATGCCAGAGTAACGTTTGATCACAGAGGCATAAGAGCCGCCGATCGGAGAGGCCCCCGGAGGAACGCATCCACACGCGGAATCGGAGATGCGAAGATCCCGCTCCGCCGAGCCCCAGAGAGCCACCAACGAGTCGCAGCTGATGGAAGAGGCCCAAGCGAGGACACATGCACACAAATCTCCCCAGGGGCCCTCCCCTGTATCAAGCCAGAGATCCATCGGTAATCGGCGAGGCTCGGGTGATCAGAAATGAGCCCGACGATTCTTCATTTTCCTGGCGAATCGATGCATTTTCATGCGGCACATCTGCCGCAGTGTCGTGGAGCCCCCGCCTGCGCCCGAACCCCACGCGGGGCGCGAGCGAAAGCGAGCGGCGCAGGGCACCGGGCGCCCCGAAGGCCCGCTGGGGGCCTCGCCCAGCGCTGCGCCACCCACGATAAAAAAAAAAACTGGGTTCAGCGCGACAGCTCCGCAGCACAAGAAGCACCCAATTCCCCCGAACCCATCCGTCTGCCCCCTGCTCCCCCCCGAGTGCCAGAGCTGTCGAACATCGCGCTGGGCCGCGGGCGGCTGGCAAGCAGGCAAACGCCTGCGCCTGCTGACGACCCCTTGGCGCTGCAAGAGTGAGATGGCGAGGCGGGAGGTGAGGGCGCGCAACCCAGGGCGCCGAGGACTGCAACCCAATCCGCGAGCTGGAATCAGCACAGGCGCGAAGCCCACCCGCCCTTTAGGGCGCAAGTGGTCTAGCGCGTTTCCTTTTCCAACCTCCTTCCTCCCCCTGCTTGGGAGGCAGAGGCCCCCCCATCCCAGGGTCTGGACGGGGCCCCAAGAGGGCCTCAGAGAGCCCAAGATCCCTTCTCCCGTCAGCTCTGATGGGCATCATCCCTGGATGGGCAGGCGGGGATACGCGAAGCGTCAAGAATACTAGCGCGGATGCCAAATGCCGCAGCCTGGGAGACGCGAAGTGTCAGGAATACTCGAGCTGCTCTCCCCTACGCAGCCGCCGAGCTCTTCTTCAGGGAGAGCCTCATCCTCTCTTTCAGGGAGAGCTTCGAGCCCACTACGGGCTGAGACGCGCCCGGGGAGCTGCCTGGCAAAGACGCGGGCGGCGGCGGGGGGGCATCGGGAGGCGGAAGCGGGGGCTCGACGGCGGGAGGCTCCGCCGCTGGCGCGGCGGCCGCAGGAGGCGCTGGCGCCCTCGGCTGGAACGGCGTCTCAAGGCGAGTGCCGTCCTCCCAGCGGTTCAGCTCCAAGTTAATCTGGTCCGACAGCTGGACTTTTGAAGGCTCCAGACTTTTCTTCAATGCGATCACCTGCTTCTCCGCCTCCGGCTTCGACAGCACCGATCCAGGCCAAGATTTCAGCAACTTGTAGATGGCGAAAGTGAAGCTGACGGTCTCGATGCCCAGATCGCCCGCGATCACGCTGTCCTTCAAGCCTTTCGGGTCGACCAGGGGTGGCAGGCATGGATAGTGGTCTGCGCGCTTGATCAACTTCACCTGCCTCTTGATCTCCGCGGCCAGGGGGCTGAGGCTGCTGTGCTTCTCGTTCTTGCAGAGCGCGTCGCACAAGTCCACGTGGTCCAGGAGAGTGTCCTTGGCCCACTGCCAGTTCGGGCAACCCTCCTCGATGGCCCCCCGCAATGCGGCGAGGTTCGAACTCCAGCTGCCGCCGAAAGCCCCCTGCACCGCGACGAAGCAGGCCCGGATAGACCTGTTGAACGGCTCGAAGTCGACGATCGAGTGGAAGGCCTTGGAGTGATAGGGGTCCCCGTTGTCGGCGAAGAGGTCGGAGCCCCCCGCGAGGGAGACGCAAGTGTCGAAGGCGTTGTACGAGGCCCTGCCGTCGCACACCATCTTGAGCGTCTCCTCGGTCACCTTCGTGTCCTTCATGGCCGCGCCAGGTGCGAACGTGACATCCGCGAAGCGCTTCATCTTCATGACGTGGACCAGGAGCGACGCGGCATTGTACAAGTATGTGAGCTGCGTGCTCAGGGCCTTGTCCCCGGCCTCCTCCGCCCACGACAGCGCGGGCGAGAATGCCGACAACTCCACCGAGATCGCGGACACGTCCCCCGCCCTCCCGAGGTCGATGTCGCCGAGCTTGTTCTCGCCGAACACGGTCTTCAGGAACGTGATAAGTGGATCCACGATAGGCTTCGAATAGGACTCCAGCGCCCCAGCGACTTTCGATGCGTATCCTCGGGGAGAGCGAGAAAGCAACGGCCCTGGGGGAAGGGGCGACAGAGGGTGAACCAGGAGGAAGGGCGAGCAGATGCAGGGCAGGATGGAGGGAGTGAGCAAGGGGGGGAGGGGGTCCTGCGAGGAGGAGGGGGGCCCCCCCGCCTCCCTGCTTGGTCCGACCCAGCTCGCTCCTCCCTCGCCGCAGATGAAGGGAGACGACAGGAACTGCTCGGTGGCGTCCTTCGCCCACTCGACTTCATGCGGTTGCCGAGGCTCGCAATCCTCAGCCGAGGGAAGCGGCTTCTCAAGGTGGTCCCTCAGACCCTTGGCCATGCGCTTGAAGAACTCGACCGAGTACTGATCATCGCCCTCGCGGGTCACCATGCACGCGGCGCTCACGACCCACTCCATGACGGCGACCCCCTGCATGAGGAAGTCGAACGGCTTCTGCGGCGCGACGGCGGAGACGTGGTCACGGCTCGCCTGGAAGATGTCGACGAACACCCGGATGACATCCCTGCCGCGGAGGGAGGGACGCCGAACGGGAGAAGTGGCGGGGGGTGGTCGAGGACAGGGAAGGCGGGGAGGAGGCAGGCGACGGAAAGCTAAGGGAGGGGAAGAGGAACGTTGAGGGAGGCGAGGGCGGGGGGAGGGTCGGCGGAGGAGGGCGGGGATTGGAAGGGCGGGACAGGAGGTCGACAACGACCATGGAAGCCTCGACCCGATGCCCTCGCCGACCCACTCCTTCACGCTCTCCACCGTGGCAGTGCGCGTCAACACACCCTCGAGCTCCACCTTGATGCCGATGCTCAACATCGCAACCCACTTCCGAATCGGGTCGAAGCATTCGTCGAGCGGATCGGGCAGGAAGGCGGGGAGGATATTCGCCTTCGCGGACCCTCCGACCCAGCGGCCAACCGCCACCACGGCCCTCGCAGCGGTCTCCACCTGGTCGCTCGGGACGTCCTTCATGCGCTGAGCGGAGTGTGTAAGCGCGACCTGGGCAGCGGTGAGTGGGGCGGCCCCCCGGTGGCGCCCGCCGCCAGGGGCCTCAAGAAAAAACGATGTAGGGCCCCAGGAGGGGCCCGCAGGGGGGCCCATTGGGGCCCTCGCGGGGCCGCCCAGCGGCCCCCCGGGGCCGTCTCGGGGAGCCCGAGATAGCTCCTGGAAGGATTCAGGACGGTCCAAGAGCCCGACAGGAATCCAAGATGGCACGCGGGGCCTCAGCCCGAAGGTCGGACACGACACGAAGGGGCACGTGCAAGGAGGAGCGAGAGAGAGAGAGAGAGAGGAGAGAGAGAGAGAGAGAGAGAGAGAGAGAGGAGAGAGAGGAGAGAGAGAGAGAGAGAGAGAGAGAGAGAGAGAGAGAGAGAGAGAGAGAGAGAGCGTGAGAGAGAGAGAGAGAGAGAGATAGAGAGAGAGAGAGCAAAAAAAAGATAGGGAGAAGGAGAGGGAGAGGAAGCAGAGAGGAAACATAGAGAGAGAGAGAGAGAGAGAGAGAGAGAGAGAGAGAGAGGGAGCGAGAGACAGACAGACAGACAGACAGACAGACAGACAGACAGACAGACAGACAGAAATGAAGAAAGAGAGGGAGACGGGCCGAAGCCCATCTTGAGTCCCACCCGTCCGGACGGCATCCTGCACCAACACGAGCTTGCGCTCCAGCTCGTCGCAGGCGTCGCTCGTAGCCCTGGCCTTGTTCAGGTACACGTTAGCGTCAGCCATGATCTTGCCGCCCAGCGGACGGCTCATGAGGGTGCCGCCCAGCATGTCGCCGCGCGCGCCAGTCTTCGGGTCGGGGAGGTGTGCGGCAATCATGTTGTCCACGGCCTCCTGCAAGCAATCGATGGTGGCATCGAGGGAGTCGAACTTCTCGGCGCGCAGGATGGTGCTCAAGTTCATCACGAATGCGTCCACGGACGGCTCCAGGTCTGAGTCGCGCTCCACATCGAACAATGAGCGCAGCGCGCTCATGGCCTTGCTCTCCGGCAGCTTCATGTGACGAGACAGGCGCTCGGACAAGAGGCGCGTCTGTTCACGCAGCGGTTCTGGAAGGCCGTTCTTCCTGAGCTCAGCGCTGCCCACCCGGATGAGAAACCTCGCATCGTCTTCCGTGCCAGCAATGTCAAGCTTGTGGCGGGCCCATAAAATGTGGGGCGGCCACTCTACTTTCCTCCCAGGACATCCTTCCGCCCCAGTCGCCAGATGCACATCGGCCCCCCGCGCAGGGAGCAGGAGAGGGGGCCGATGAGCTGCTGGGGTTGGGGAGGAGGGTACGCCCCGATCCTCGCGGGCTCGAGCCTGAGGGCGGTCTGCTGGAAATCGAACACCTCGCGGAACTGCTGGCTCTCCAGCCCGTTGGCGCTGACGACCTCCACGATGGCGATGATTGCAGTGAGGGCCTTGTGAGCCACCGTCAACACGTCGCTCTCCGAAGCCTCCTTGACCTTCTTCAGCTTGTCCCCAATCTC